TAATATTTTAATAATATACAAGTCTTGTCTTGGAACATACCTGACTTCGTAGGTTTTCTCGCAGAAGTCAAAGCTGGCGTTTTGATGATCGATGTCGTAGGCAGTTTGCTGCGTAGCTCATCGATCAGCTTGTCATCGCCTGGCGAATTCTCGGTATCACTGTCACTGTCCGCGGAACTGACAAGGGACACCATCGTCACGATGTCGATCGTTCGAAAGTCGATGGAGTTCCTCGCACGTCCCGCCGATCTGCCCCGCAATTTTCCATCTGCGTCATTCTTGCAGCTCCAGAAACGTCGTTTCACGCTTCTAGATCGTCTCTTCAGTGGTGCCGATTTCATAGACCGGCTCGACGCCAGCTAATCCCGCATACATTAATATTTCTTATTTAAATCAAATTTTCTATAAAATTTCGCTTTGGTATTTCCCTCATTTCTTGTCTTAATGACTAAACGCGAACAATTAAGATAAATAAACGAGATAAACTATTACTATGAGATAAGATATTATAAATAATAGTAACTCGGTAGAAAAGCTGCACGTCACAAAGTCAACTTTTTATATTATATGAAAAATGCGATAGGAATATAGATTTCATTTTAAACAAGAATGCACGTACCTTGGATGCATCAATTTTTCCCACCGCGTTATCTGTACAGTCTGTCACCAGTTTTTCCCCTTGATCATTATTTTTTCCCGAGGTACTGGATGAATCGATCACGATATTAACTAATACGCGATTATTAGCCGAAGTCGATTCTAAACACCGTTGCGGCGGTGCGGAGTTAGTTCTCCGGGGTCGCTGATCCGTTCTCTGAATCTCCGTCGGCTTTTTTAACAATACGTTCCTCTCGTTCATAAAATCGCATCTCGTTTTTAATGAATTTCTCCAAGCTGCTGTTTTTTCAGTCACCGAGTCACCGTCTCTATCGTAAATTGCCCGATCGCTTTCTTTCACGTCCGAATCAAATTGATCGGCTCTGTCAGTTGCTTGAGTCATCGTTTTGCAATCTGCTAATGCATCTCTGTCGTCGATCGTGACGCGCGTATTCTTATCAATCGTAGAAGACAATTTCCCACCGGTTCTTTGCGGCACGTTTTTCTCGTCGACGGAACTCCTTCCCATCAGATTCTTTCCGCTCGGAATGCTCTCTCCGCTCTCTGTTCGATTCGCACAAGTCTTTTCTGTAATCACGTTAAGGTTGTCAATCGTCGGTTTATACGGCACGTTTTTATCGGACACCGAATCGTATCTGAACTCCGTTGGCGATCTAACTGGGTCGAGGAACGCTTGGTTGGTGCCGCTACGAAAACTCGCACGCTTCTGCTTGGCCGACGAAAAATCTTGTTTCGACACTTTTCCAACTTCCAGGGTCGAGTTTTCGATTTTGATCGATGGCAGCATCGTAGATAGAACGCCACAGCCACTCGAACAGTCGTTGCTCGTCGCCGTAGACTTCTTTGCCTTGGGAAGATGTTCACTGGCATTTGGACTTGATAGTTTCTTAAATAAAAAGCGAAAGGATTTAAATAGTATCAAAGGTCCTCTTGCTACACAAAATGCCAATGAAAATTATTTAGACAAATAATAAATAAGGAAAAAGATGTTCTAATAATGCTGCCTCTTTAATAATATAAGCTGAACTCTAGAACCTTTATAGATATTTAATTGACACTTATCAGATGTTATTAGTGAATGAATATATATTACAGATTTTATTTTTGTAAATCAATAAATAAAGAGACGAACAATTTTATATTTCAAGGAATTTTTAATATAGACTTTTAATTGCAAGTAATTGCGTACTTCGTTCAATGGTCCCTTTTCATCATCAGTCTTCTGCCTTTCCTTCTTTTTCGTCTCTCCAGGTATTTGAATTTCTTTCAACGCACTAATTTCTGAGGAACGTTTACAATCAGGCAAGACGTCACAGTTTTTCTTTATGTCCGTTGCATCGTTTTGCGACGATTTTCTAGCCGTCGGATTCTCGGTTTCCTTCTTTTCGCCAACCCCTGTCTTGAAATTGTTAATCAAAGGAGTTTCGGTCGCGGGCTGCTCGATCTTTCGCACAGGAGACGGGGGATTAGTGACTGTAGTATGAGTCGACATTTCGGACTCGCATCTTTCGTTCAAAATCCCGTGGGCCAAGAATATGTTAATGTTAGCTTTGTTCTCCTCGCGATGTTTCCAAGCGAGTCTCAATCTTTCAGCTAGCTCTTGTCTAGAGTAGAGTATCGTTGGCTTGTCGATGCCGACGAAACCTCTGCTCCGGCTTGTCGTCGGCCTGGATCGTCCAGGAATTTGACGAGCCACCACCTCGACTTGTTCCACCTGTTTCTCATTCTTCTGACGGTTCTCCTTCCAGGCAACACGAACCTGAAATTTGTCAATTGTCATCACAAGATTTGCCACGTTTTTTAATAGGAAATAACATTAACACCGAGGAGAGA